TTCAGGGAGCTCTGATGACTTTAGGGGAGATCTGCCCACGTGGAGTTCTTTGCAGGATTGAGGCCTTAGTAAACATTAAACAAAGAGCTATGCATAAAACTAATAGATGAATATTTTAAAATATAGTTAATAAAAATAAACAGTGTACGTCGGAAAACAATAGTGATCTCTATTGCCAACTACACTAAGCATGAATCAGTATAGTTATAAAGCACATCTTTTAATCTGTGGAAGTAGGTGGAATCTCCTTTATCTCTAAATTTCAGTTCTGTTTCCAGTCTTTTTCCATCTGCACTCTCTTGTAGTATAGTATTCAAAAATCCTAAGTAATTTTATTTTCTTCATTTATTTATGGGTCATTTTTCAGTTCTGACTTCCAAGACCTATAAACTTATTGGCTTTTGTTCTTACTTCTTCAGCTCCTTGATCAAAAGTCTGTTTCTTCCTTCTCTTCTCTGCAACCAGATACATGGCAAGGTGTGTAGTCAGTATTGCTTAATACAATGTAGTTGTTTTTACTGGGCACGTTTGTCTGTTTGTATTGTTTAAATTTTAATTTCAATTAAGAACAGATTTTGTCTGGATTGTCATCACATTGCAATTTTAAAACTTAGTTTATACTTTTGTTATACTTTACAAAAGTGAATAGCATAATTATTTAAATTAGCAAGACAGTACTGCTGTGTTTTATGTATTTGTGTGTAACAGTGAAACATCTAAAATGATACTATTGAACAGTATTGAAGAATGGAATGTGCAGAATCATATTTATTGTATTTGAATCATGGCTGTCTTTAAACAGCAGGGGTTGGTGGATATATTTTTTTTTATCTTTTAGGTAAAAAGTTGTTTTCCAACTTAGTCTTTCTTCTGTAAAATCCACTCTTGGCGTTCCTCATAAGGACTGCCTTATAGTTATCTAATCCACTGAATCCAGGAAAAGTCCATCAGTCATGCATTTACTGTGTATGGACTAGTGTCATGCTACAGTACTGTATATATTGTATATGATGACCCTTTCATTTCCTTTTTGCCTATCAGTCTAGACTTCAATACTTACTTTATCATTTAAGTTTGTATTTTTTATAGTTTAGTTTTTCATTTTTTCTTGATGTTAATAGTTTTCTCACTTCCTTTTCATCCTCCACTCCTCTTTCCTGGGGAAAAATAAGAAACTCCCAACCGAAGACAAAAAAAGCTGTCAACAAACCCTGGAGTTTCATAGGATCTTAAAAGCCAAAGGTTCTTTATTCTCCCTAAAGCTGATTAACAGAAACTCCCCAAGTGAAAATTTGTGCTAATCTTACCAACCGTTATATCTTCCCAAAAAACATTGCAGATAAGAAGATGGACGCTACCCTTAGATAGGACTTGGAAATTTCATCAGTGATCCATAGAGTATGTCTACACTGCAGTTAGACACCCAAGGGTGGCCTGTGCCAGCTGACTCAGGCTCAAAAGGCTCAGGCTGAGGGGATGTTTAATTACGGTGTGGATCTTCAGGCTCAGGCTGCAGCCCAAGCTCTGAGACCCTCCCACTTGGCAGGTTTTTAATTGCTGTGTAGATAAACCCATAGACACTCATTCGCAAGCATATTCTTCACTAGACCCATGATGTCCTGGTGCAGTGAGTTGAAAAGCTTGGACCACCAGAAGCCCATGACAAGGTCGAGTCAACACTGAAGAAACTATCCCTAGCAACTACATTTCTGGCAGATGGATCCATGGACTCCATGAAGCTGGCAGCAAAAGGCTGTGCAAAACTATTCAAAGCAAATCCCTCTGCCTCAAAGGTCTCAGGTGGGAATCCTGTTTAGGTAGACACTGGGATAAGGTGGAAGTGAAAGTATTTATTCTCTACACCAGAAAAGATAAAATGACTACAGTCCTTATACAAAGGCTCCTTTCATTGCTACCCACAACACAGGCCACCAGATAAGGGACTTCTCTTATTCCAGGGTAAACAGTTAACCAGTAACCCACAGACAAGTCCTGATCAGGGAACAAGTTTAGCCCTTGTTTCCAATCCAAACAGTCAGTATGGATGCAACTGTGCCTGATTCCACCCAGAAATACTCCTGGAGGGCACTTAGACACATGGTTCCAGTCAACATTAGAGTACAATACTGATAATCTCTGGTGCTCCAGGCTCTTCTACATCTTTATCCATTCTGCAGCCTTAAGACACAGCAAGCCATCCTGAAGTAAATCTCTCATCTCCCAGAGCTATGAGTAGTAGAGCCTCTCTCTCAAGAGCAAATGTTTTCAGGGTTCTAGTCCATATTCTTCATAATAAGGGAAAGATCAGGAAGAATCCAAGCCATCTTAGACCTCAAGAGGCTGAACAGGTCAACGAAGAATTAAATTCAGGATCAGATTTTAGCTTCCATTATTTTTTACAATCTCTCCAGCAGGCCTGACAGAAGCTTAGCTGCATATTCCACTCTGCTCCCATCACTAACAATTTCTTCAATTTTTTTGTTCCCTCCCTACAGAAGTAGTCACTAAAAATACAAAGTATTACTCCTTTTATCTGTCATCTGTCTCTACTCAGGTTCATAAAGGTACTGACACTGATAATAAATCATGTGAGTTTAGGGACTCATCTGTAATAATTCTTAAATGACATGCTCATTAGAGGATCATCCCCAGGAACCTCATCGGAAGTGACCCAGGTGACTCTCTCGATACTTCAGTCACACAGGTTCATGATAAAGTTAAAAAAGAGTTCCCTGATCTCGCTTGAGGACAGTCCACAATAGGAGCTGAGAAAGGCACAAGAGAATCAGAGTCTTCCTGACAGAGGAGAGGTGAATCAAAAATAATGCCCAAGATATATGTAGGTTGACTCCTGACCACCCTAGTATTCTTTGCTTCCTTTTCTGGAAGTGTGAAACACAACTCTTAGCCATCTCTTCTCAGCTTTTTCTTTCCATTTGGTCCCTCTTTGACAGATATGGATGAGAATAAGAGGGATGACTTCAGGCTTTGGGAGAAGAAAAAGAAGAGGTATAAATAGGATGAAATGGGTCAAGGGAAGGCCAAGGAGGATCCTGACTGATGATTCTATACCAGTAGAGCAGATACTCAGTAATCTGTGTACGCCATGCACCTGTTTGTGCAGGCTCCAGAAACAGATTGTGGATGTACTTTTTCAGACTGCATAACTTCTCCTTTCCCAGGGATCCTGGCTAGTCTCCTCCCATGGTGAGCTGTTTGACTCCCCACTTCTTGCTGTCTTCTGCTCCTTCAGCTTCTCCCCGTCAACCCTAATAGCCTTTTCCTTCCCAGGGCTTTGCTGCTGTTTTTCCTGGCCATACATAATTTGGAGCTTTGGGATTTAGGGGCTCCTTTTCTCCTGTTCCCTTCTTTACCCATTAAGGTACAGAATTTTCAGAATTTCCCCCACCTTGGCTTCCTGATGGTTCTTTCCATTGGCATGCTTCTTAATTTGATTCCAGTTATCCCGTAAATCCAACAGAAGGCACCCATGTGCACTCTAAACAGTTTGCCTTGCCACTCAGTACCAGTCAGACTCTGTGCTCTCTTTCTGTTCTTACGCTTTCCCCAATTGTGTCTTACCTTACTCCTTTACTGAAGCAGTTTCTTCATCCCAAAATGCCGAACTGGTGAGTAAATTAACCTTGTAAAGAAAAAAAGGATATTAACCAGTATTTAAATTCTTCGATTTGTTTCTCAGTATACTGAACAGGTAAAACTCATCATTTGTAAAAGTATTAATTACTGTTCATGAGGTACTCACCACTGTTATATCTGTGTGCTAGCTCCATATATTTAGAAATTATGCTTTCTTATATGCTGGCTGTTGTTGTGTCTTGTCTGTTTAGATTTTAAATTCTTCAGGTCATTGACTGTCTTAATGAAAAGTCTATTGTGGACACTACAGAAATACAAGTTATAAATAACAATAACTTACACAGTACCATGGGTATGAATAAACAAAATGCTTAGAAAGAGCTTGCAATCAGAACTGTAAAAGTGACAGTAACTAATTCCCTTGAGAGAGGAACACACCTTTCCGTTTCTCCTAGTCAATTTAAGCCACTTAATACAAAGGTGCAGAACTTGTTCTCTGATCCCATAACCATCATTTCACCATCCTTAGGAGAAGGATGACAAAAAGAGATGAGTGCTGCATCTTTCCACAAAGATAGAGAGAAGGTCCTCAGTGTGATCTGAGGGCCTTGCAGTAAACTGATATTGTACATTTTTATAGCAGCTAAATTAAATACTGATACTTTATTTTTATACACAATTTAAGGACTCAATCTTGCAAAACTTATTCATGCAACAGTAACTTCATTGGGTTGCAGGACTGGGCCTCATATTTTTAACAGGTCGAACTTAGAATTAGATACATATATCCACCGCTGAATTTAATTGTGGTTTTATTCACATATCTGAAGATAGAATTTAGCCCTCCATTATTAATTGATTGTGCTTGTTTGTATGTGTTTAACTACTAAATTATGAATCATTTATCATTAGTTAAATACATTAATAAGCCAACAACTAGTAAGGACGGTTTATTAAGCAGCATGTACATGAAGGGGAGTAAAAGCCAAGAGTCCAACACTCTTCTGAGCTATAGAGTAGTGAATTATAGTTTGTAAAAATACTTCACAGGGACAAAAGAGGCTAATTAGTAACTGTCTAGTCAGTTGAGATGGTCTAGTTTATTTGGTCCTGACTCAGTGCAGGAGGCTGGACTTGATGACCTCTTGAGGTCCCTTCCAGCCCTACATTTCTATGATGTCTATGAAGGTATAGATTGTTTTACGATGCTGCTGATATTGTTCAACCATCAGAATATGAAGACTCAGCTAATCAAGATTTTCTCCAAAACAAAACTAAATCTCTGTTCAGGATTTCAGTTTCACTTTTAGTTACACTCTGTTTTTAAATATATAGCAATATTTTTGTGACACTAACTACCCTAAACTGTTTATATGTAAAATATTGTTAATATTTAATTTCAGATGCAGCAGGAACTAGAAAAAAGTATCACTAAAGAACTTGACCAAGGTAATTTGTTAGAGCATGTTAACATTTTTTTTTCAAAAACTGTGTGTTACTAAATATAATTTATGATATAGTTATAATTCAAAAATAGTATTAAGCTATTATGTCATACACCATTGCTGTTTCTACTAATTTTCAAATTTGGTAAAAAAAAATTTGCAAGGACTGCCCACTTACCAAAGTGCTGTACAGAATATTATGTAATTCCCCCACAAAAAAAAGTCTTAATCTGACGTCAGTTTTGCAGGAATTCCCAAATACCATACACATAGGATTAACACAAATACAGTAAATCCTCTTTTAAGATTTTTCACAAACTTTAAAAATCACTTCTCCTCTCACACATTTTAATCAGTATTATTGTATATAATTCATATTCTTCCAAATGTATCACTAGAATAAGCAATTGTCATTCCGTTGTCTTTATTGGAATTTGGTGTGCTTAGAGCATCTATGGATTTGACCTATGATTTTCAATAGCCCTTGAAATACTAACAGTTATTTACTGATTAGCAAAAAGGCTAATGTATTGCTTATATAATTAAAAAATCTGGTCCCTTCCTTTGTGAATATCCCTTTTATGTAATTTTCATTGTGTTTCCATTGTATTGATTTAAAATGTATATCTGCTGTCTCTGGACCTGACACAATGTCCACCGCTGTCAGTGGAAAAAATTCAATGGGTTTATGACAAAGCCTACTGTAAAACTATCACACAACATAACACAGAACATATATGGTCATTTGTTTTTCTTGTTCTTTCTAGCCACAGCTGAACTTGAAAATGGGTCTGTAAGAGTCTCTCCTGTAGGATCTACTGATGGATCTTCAAAAAATCTAAATGTGGATCAGGATCCGGTTTCCAGGGCAACACAGCAGTATCTAGATGTATTAAAGAAAAATTATATGATTTGAACAAAACATTAAAGCAAGTTTGTGAAAATGACTTTGTTTACATAACATTTTAATGGTTTCCCATTAAATGGGGTCAGATGTGAAAAATCTTAATTACAATTTAAATATAAACTATAAAGGTATTTTATAAATATCAGGCACATTGCACTTCTCTCTGGAGAAACAGCACATAGTTATATAGTCTCCTTTTAAATTAAATATATAAGCCATACCTTGTTTTCATTTGTAACTAGCAAAGGAAATACAGAGCAGTGTTCTTGAGTTTGACAGAACTGCCAGAATGTTAGTTGTTACAATAGCTGTTCTGAGTCTTGTTCCATTCATTTTCTCTGATGTATTTTAACCAAAGCATTTCCTGAATTTTGTTTTGTTTTCTCTTTTACATGTATTTTATGTTTTTAAATGTTCTCTTAAGTAGCCCATTAGCCTGTTCAGATCTGATGCATCTGTTTTGTGCCCAGTTCTGTAGTCCTGACACAGGGAAAACTTCTGTTGATTCACTGTAAGATTTGCCTATATTAGGTTTGCAGAATTAGGCACTTGCCTAATTTGTTTTTGCTTTTATTCCATTGTGTTTGAGTTTAAAAAATACTACATATCTGTAATAGTGCCAAGAGATTTGTAGTGTGTGTTTTATATGGTAGAGGAACTTATCAATACAATGCACTGAATTTTTAATTGAATAATACAGCAACTTGGGGCATTCTGAGTTGTTAGTAGATCACTGCTATGTTATAAGTACAACTCTTCTGTAGATGAATAGAGTAAAACTATATATATTTTGTGTGTGCCTACCTCCAATTTTCTTGATATTTTCCAAAGTTGGTGCACGGAAAAGCTAAGTTTTGCATTATTACTAAAATCAGAAGACCCCTTGATCATAAATCTAGTAGACTGGACTTACAGCGAGTCTGTTTCAATGATCAAGACAGTTTTACTTATTCCAGCGATTCATCCATTGTTACTGAAGACCCATATTTCTGCCATTAAATATCTTTAAAGGTCACTAATGTTGTGGTTCAAGATGGTGAAATGGAGGAAGAAATCCCCACTAGAGAAAACATGAACAATGATTATACTGAGATGAGCAGGACATGAAAAATTTGTCCTGTACCCACTATTCCAAGAACTAAGCTAACTAGCCTGGGTGGAAAAAACCTGTGCCGCCATGTCTCTTAACAGTTTTAAAGGAATAAAACAGTTTTGTACAGTTGGTATATTGTCTTTACTTGTAAAATACTCCATATCAGCTGTTCAATAAATTTTTAAATGTAACATGTCTCACATTTTGTTTTACATTGCTTCTCTTCTTGACTATACTTGTGCGCATCATTCTCTGTGTTGGTTTCAGTGTCTGCTCTTTCTTTCCGTCCTTCTCCTACCATCCCTTTATTCCCTCTCCTGTCTTCTGCCCAACCCTCACAACTGATCTCATTCCTAATACTTCTGTCTCTCCTGTCTCCCCACAAAATGTCAGTCCCGTGCCTCTCTTTCCTACACACCCATATCCATGCTTATCCACATACTCCTTTCTCTCTGGTCTTCTCCTTCCTTCTGATTGAAGGAACAGCAGCTCAGTGGGCCAGAGAGAATGGTTCCTATTGAGTTCAATATCCCATATAAAACTTCCACTCACCCTGAGCAAGTTGCCTTTTAAAACCTCATACAGTTTAGGGGAGGTATTGCAGCAGATCCTTTGCTGGTGTCGTTCAGCACCGTCCTATTGACTTTAATGGAACTATGCTGATTTACAGCAGCTGAGGATCCAGCTCATTATCTACCACCCCTAGATACCCCAGCCAAGACTCAAAAATGGGTGCCCCGAAAATTAGACTTCTAAATAAATGACCTGATTTTTTCCAAAGTATTCAGCACTCCCAGCAGCTCTCACTGAAATTACATCCCTTCCCCCAACAACACATCTTTAAGGGAAAGCACTAGGAACCCAACCTCAAACTACAACTCAAAAATCAAAATCATTTTTGTCTCTGGAGTCTTCCCTAAATGCCCCTAATATGAAACTGAGTATCCTAAATTGGTAATCTCTTAGCAATCAGCCATCAAACCCTTCAGCTAACCAGAGCCATTTGTATTCCATGACACAATGGGACAAAATTCCACAGCAGCAACTCCTAAATTTCACTGTAACATTAATTTCTTGTGTGTCAACATCAGTTGTTATGATCTGCACCGTCATGAAAACATACACCACTGTGACTTCTAGTAGAAAATAATCATTGGCATAAAACTTCATTATACTTTTCAACCATGATTAGTTTAGACTAGAGCATTTGTTCTGGTATGCTCTCTTGGTGGTTGGGCTTCAGCTCCCATGGCAACCCAGCTCACAACCTCCTTCTCCCGTATGTGCTACTGAAGAGAGAAGCTTGTACTCACCAGATCCCCAGACCTCAGCTGCTACGCTAGGTCCACAGAATATTGTAATGAGCATGCACTGTAATCCAGTTAATTCCCTGTGATATGGAAAGATGCAGAGCAAGAGGTTGGTACAAACAAGGTACAGGGTAACAAAACAAAATGTCAGGTGTCTTGAGTGCAGCAACAGGTGATGCTAAAACAGAAACAGTTAATTTTGTGACATCTTGAGGAAACTGCCAAATTACCAGTTACAGAATTGCAGTCCGTGTGGCTGTGATTCAGATGAATGGGGCAAGTGACCCTTCTCAGAGCTATTAATCAGCCTCTCTTCAGACACAGGCAGATGACACTGCATCCATTTACACTTGATTAAGGGTTTTGAGGTTTTCTTTGCAACCACAAGGGCTACAAGGTGTTTTGCTTTTAAAATGAAAGCTAACATGCTGAAGTCCAACTCTGTGGCAAGGGGACGAATAGCACAATACACAGGATCCTTTAATATCTACTGGGATCCAAAACTCTTCCTGTTCCACACTGACCATCATTCTCCAGACATAGAATTAAATGCAAATGGAAATCCATTCATATTTTGCTCTTGCGTAAACAGAGAACATCATAGTATGGAAACCAACCTACTCCTATCTGCGTCAGGCTGCAGCGTAATGGGAATTGTGCCTATCTGGCTTTCAGCCCACAAAACCATGCCCTACCAGCAAACGGGGCTCAGAGTCTTAACAATGGGATAAGGGGGCCTCTCTCTTCAGGCTGGCCCCACACTAAAATGTAAGTAGTACTTCAGGCAGATTATGACCAGATCAAAGGCACATGAGGACTCCATTCCCCATAGGGTTGCACCATCATGGGATTATAGAGAGATAAGTGAGATATCTCTTCCCATGTTCAGAATTACTCGATTTACTGAATAAAGCCTCGAGTGGTACTAAATGACTCCTGCCGAACAGTCATGGTGCTAGACAAACCGAGGAGGAGACAGGCATCCTTCCAGGCTTCTGAGGCCATCTAGCAGGCTAGTCCCATACACAAGGTATTTGTACCAGCACCTCGCCTCAGTTGAGTGGTGTCCAGGCCAGGATCAATAGTGTGCTATCTTCTTCTTGTAAACAGCCTATTCACAAAAAACGTGCCAGGAGAGGATGCCAGTGGCTTGAAAGGAATTTATTAAATGTTAATAAAATATCTTCCCCTTCAAGCATTACAGTGGTGCAGCAGCACCACTACAGTAAAGTTGCACCACAGCTTATGTTTAAAGCTTGACCTTCCTAGATCCTCTAAAATCAACATTTCTTAGTCCGTGTCCTTTTGAAATTTGGTGTGCTTCAGGAAGGTGACAGGTAGAGTTAGTCACCCAAAGTTGGAGGCTTTTGGACTAAGGTGGTGGAGATATAAGCCCTGAAAAAATAAGTCATTTTTTTAAAGTTTCCAGGTGTTTGGGGTTTTTTGTTTGGTTGGTTTTTGACCATATCTAGAGATCAAATCATTGCTGTGATCCATTGGTCTCAATCTGTTGAGTTTCACCCAAGGTCATGCATGGCTCCCACTAAATCTGAATGGTGACTCCGATTGCTTTGAAATTTGCCTCATAGAGGTTCCCAGTAGCATTAGTGATCCAAAATTGGGGTCATCTGACCATGGGGTTCCCAAGAAAACACTGGTTTCTTTTTGCTGCATTTTAAAGCTAAAGGTACTAGTGACTGGATGAATCACAGACCTTATTGAGATTGATTACTGTGAGATCACCTTTCACTTAGCATAACTAAGGATAAGTTTGAAGTCGCTGAGTGGTTGATTGCTCCTTAGTGGATGAGGGGCAGGGCTGAGCTGCACTAAGCAGGAAAGACTTAGTATAAAAAGTCACTTACTAAGCAAACTCAAGAGTCACAGAGGAAGCTAACTGCAGTTTCAGAGAGAGTGTGAGCAGCTGTCCTTCCAGCTTCAGCACTACATGTAATATCAAGATAGTCAGAGTGGCATTGTAGGTGCCTGGAGACAGATGAAGAAGGGCAGGCTGTGGCCACCAGAGGGAAGAGGACCAGGGGGGATTCCACACAGGTAGAACTTTCAAATTGATACCAATTCATCAATATGGAAACTCTGGAAGATATCCCCTAAATCAAGCAGGTCCAAGGGAATGGAAAGATGCGTAGGACACGTGTGGATGGTAACTCAGTCTAACCTGCAAGAAAATCTAGCTTTCTCACAAAGAGTTTTTCAGCTTTCCAAGGAAGACAGACTATCCTTGTTGCAGATTCAATACTCTGAAGAATTGAAAGAACATTCTACAAGGGACAGACAGAAAACAGGACAGTACGCTGCCTTCCTGGAGCCAAGACACAAGAAGTCACAACAAGATTGGCTAGCCTTCTGAAGTAGACGGGCAGGGATCCATTGATGATGGTTCATATTGGTGCTAATGACACTGTGTTGTGAGATATTTCATAGAGAGTAGATGACTTCAGGGAACTTGGAAGCGTGCTGAAGAAGAAAAATATCCAAGCGATCTTCTTTGAGATGGTTCCTGTCCCATGAGGGAAGGAAGGTAGAAGTCAGAAGATTTTGGAAGTGAACTGCAGGCTAGAGAAGTGGTATAGGGTGGAGAGGTTTGGTTTTGTGGAACAATGGTCCACCACCTACTGGGGCCATTTGGATGGCCTCCACCTTAATAGAAGGGAGACCAATCTTGGCAGGGACAGGCTGGCTACAGTAGTCAGGAGGGTGTTACACTAATAGCAAAAGGGCAGGGTAAAGAGAGGGAAGATAGGAGCAGTCGGCACAAAATCAAGATGTTGAGAACAAAATTAATCAAGAAACCAAAGGACATGAAGAGAAGAAATGTCTGAATTGCCTATACACCAATGCTAGGAGCCTGGGTAGTAAATGAGGAACTAAAATTGCTAATTTGAGCATAAATTTGATCTAGTTGGTATTACTGAATCTTGTGCGAAGATTCACATGACTGGACTGTTAAAATCAATGGTTACAACTTATTTAGGAAGGATCAAATGGGCGGAAGGGGAATGGCATTCACTGTCAAAAAATGGCATTATGCGTTTCCAAGTCACTAATAACTTAGAGGAAAATCATCTTGAATGCTTATGGATCAATGCCCTATCAAATAAGCACAAGCTGAGCTATTAGTGTTTAGACTGATGTCACCCAATCACACTAGGGAACAGAATGACCACCTCCTTATGCACCTATCTATAATGTGTAGGAAAAAAATCTGTGTGACTTGGGGGGATTTCAGTTTGAGTAACATATGCTGGAGGTCTCATTCTGCCTGTCCTAAAACATTCTAACTTATTGGAATTGTTAAACATCATATAAGACAATTTCATAACTCAAAAAGTGTTGCTGCCAACACAGGGGAATTCTTTATTAGACTTTGTCCTAAAAGATAAAAACGAACTGATCACAGAACTAAAAGATAATAGTAGCTTAAATGTGACTTGATCACATTTATAATGTACAAAGAGAATAAAGTCCATACCAGTGTAGATATATACTTGGGGCTTTAATAGGGCCAACTTCATAAAGCTGAAAACAATTCTGAGCTAAATCAGCTGTAAGAAAGAATTTAATCAGAAAAAATATGATATATGGTGTATAGGAATGATTTAAGAACATCTTACTAGAAGCCCCAAAAGCCACAATCAAAGAAGAAGGCCACAATGGTTAAAAAACTGACTTTGTTGAGGGGGAAAGTGAAGGCAGCCATAAAAAGTAAAAAAAAAATATAACACATGGAAGAAAGGGGAAATTGATAGTGATTACTATAAAGCAAAAGTTAGGAATAGTAGAAGGGAAGCCAAGAGACAGAAGGAGAAATTTATGGCCAGCGGAATTAAGGAAAGTAAAGAGTTTTTTTAAAATATATT